CTGCTTGCCTTGATAAACCCACTCTTTATGACTGCCTAACAGTGGATGGAACACGCAAAAGTTAGCATTTTGTGTTTCGTGTACTTGGCCTCTTACAGGTAATCTCTCTTACTCTTTTTGCAAAAATATAGAGAACAAATGACAACCAACAAACAAACCTCTTTGGTGAAGGTATAAACTTTTAGATCTTTAACACCATGACTCAACATTACAACTCCATTTATAGTATTATTGCTACTTTAGTCATACTTTAGTGATAGCTGCTTGCTGATGAGATAAATCATTAACATATTTCATGTCTACTAAGCAAGTTAACCAGGAATAATTAATTCCTTTCCTGGTGCATTTACATCTGAAGTTTGCCGTCACAGAAGCAACTTTGAAAGGGGAGGGGGCTGCACTTGAACCCACCACAGGGTCGAAGCTTTTTGTGTGGCCAGTAGTGGCATCCTGTTGGATTATATAAAAGTATTACAACATTAATTATTTTTCTCACACACACATTGAGCCGTGCTGGAGAGGTCAGTTTGCCAGCTGGGCAGCGAGCGAAACCTTTGCACACGTCTAAACACACACAGGCTTCATAAACAGATGGTGTCTCCCGCACACAAACGCACAGCAAGCTCTCTGCACAAGATAGAGATATGTTGTTCACACATGACCAGATCCCTTGGGATCCTGGCCCAAATATTAAACTCAATGATAGAAGATCATATATGTATGTATTCACAATCATCACGTTTCTCCAACGAACACCTTAATCTTCAAGATAAGGTTTTCTGCACAGTCATAAATGTTCTTCTTACGTTCGTCATTCCTCCCCCTACCCTGCCTTACAAACGTAGACCTACATGAAACCATGTCAGGGCTTCACACTTTGATGATTCACTCATCCACACACAACTTTAATCTACTCCCTCTCTCTCTCTCTCTCTCTCTCTCTCTCTCTCTCTCTCTCTCACACTCATAGCAGACCTCTGCTCGCCACAGAGATGTTATCAGCACCTTGAGTTATTAGATGTGTTTCTGTGCATCTGCTTCAATGCATATTTTCAATTTGTGGATACGGCAAGAGTAATAAAAAAATATCTCAAAAAAGCTTGGGCGAGGTGCAAAAGTGTGTGTGTACCGATACAAGGTAAGTGCTACCAGGTGCAGCGTTAACAGATTTAGCAAATAAATGATGCTGTACAAGGAAAACGACTTATGCCTCATCGTTAGATGCGTACACGGCTAAAGACGGAGCCTTCTGTCAACACTCTGCATTTATTTCATCTGTAGTTGTGCCCGCCCTCTGAAAGCTTACAGATTCATACGAAACAGACAAAACGGAGAAGTAGGGTGTGCAGAGTAGCCACTACTTCAGGTGAGACAATGGTAGGACGTGAAGAAGAAATTTCAACAATGGTCTATGGAACTATTTGAGGAGAGACTTTGCAAGTTGGTAAATTGGAACAATGCTTTTCAAAACGCAGCTGTTGTAGCTCAACAACCATGCTAACGTAAGTATGCGCACAGTGACCGTTACATGGTTTGAAAGTGAAGGTTTTTTTGCATAAATGAGCCTTTCATCAACGCAAGGAGACAGCAAACTTCCTTGAATCAACACAACAAACAAAGCACACGTTCCATCACATTTATGTTGCGCTAGCTTCTGCAATTATATTATTTGAACTGATTGGAAAATTGTCGCCACCTACTGCTTATACAGATTAACCAATTCCTCATAGTCGCGGTAAGATTACATTCGTATAATCATTAGGCCGATTTTCTGTAAATTTGGTTGAAATTACCAAAACATTTCAATGAAGACCTGACTACTAGCATAATCTCAGAAAGCAAAAATTTGTGTTTAGAAAAAAAACCATTTTGTCAGACACATCTCAAATAATGAGGAAACCTCAAGAGCCCACCAAAAATACACAAAACTTCCTCCTCTTTATTTTACTTTCAGTTCTTCTCCACTGTGTTCACAGTGTTCATTGTGGTGATGGACTTCCACTCACTGAGCTCACATGCACAGCTGTGTCCCACACTGCAGCTCAACATACACATCATAAAATCTAATCCACTCCTCCCTGTGCGTCTCTGTCCGTCTCTGAAGAAAGCAGGCACACAACCCCACACATACACACACATGCACGCACAACTGGTCACTCGAGCACGCCCCAGATGTTCAAAGCACTGTGAAAGAAAATGCAGCGAGTGCTTTCCAAGCCTCTGATGCGGTTCCGGAAATAGCTGAGCATCTCTGAACAGGAACGTTAAGGCTTGCCTGGCAGGGCGCTGTCCACCACTTGTAAAGCTGCTTCTCTCTCTATAATATCACAGGCCCTTTGTAAAGATATACAAACACTGGAATTCATTGTCAAAAAATAAATAAATCGAGCCTTCAAATACCTCGGCTCTAAACTTATTCCAGCTTGGACGTTTGGATTTTTCAAACAGAAAGGTGTCTCCTCTGTCCTGAAGTATTCACACTTTCCTAGTTTGAAAATTTCTGACTAAAGCTTCTGAAATGGCCACAACAACCTAATTGTCAGCGCTCTTTATTAGGAAGTAAATTTGCTGTTAGACGCTGCCTTAATTAGCTTCCTATTCACAAATAAGACGTCCCCTGAGACGCATACAAAGTCGATTTCATAAAACCTGAAATTTCGAAGTAATTAAAATACAACACTCTCTCCCAAGATCCAGTTTCATCATCTCAAGAATTACTAAGAACAGCTTGTAGCTAGACATCAGACACACGGAGGTGGCATGACTGGAATGACTGAAAGACGTGAGCGTGAAATGAACCAGATGAAAGAAAATTTGCACTTTCCTAACAAGAAATCCTGCTCAATTCATTCAATAGTCACAATCAGATACAGTACAGCCACAATGTGTGGTTGTAATTCAAAGCAATAAAGCGACACACCTGGTCTCTGTACCAACACCACAATAGGTTCTATAACGCAGCCACCTCGTACACATTTGTGTCACTCCAAGTCATATAAATGTGTGATTTACAATGCTTCAGTGCCTTCAGTGGATCCTGAGGTTATGGACAAGTAAAGTGTAGGTACATTCAATGAACCCGTCTGCGAGCGCTGGCCAGTCAGAGTGCACAATGTGCTGTGCTGCTGGAATGACCATTAACAGCTGAGGAAGCGGCTCATCTGGATGCACTGAATCATGTCGTTGTGATGTGTCAGTGTACGACCACTGCCAAAGCCTATTATCGGCTAAAACACACTTAGCTGTCTGTGAAAGGACGCGGCAGAGGAGACTGAAAAAAAAACATATGTCACGAGTGGATTAACGATGAAATGATATGGGAGGGTGGGGGGTGTTTCAGTATTATGCTGGTGTTTGGGAATTTGTCTAAATCTGTGGTAATTCCTTGAAGTATTATTGTAGTAAAACAGTAAATACAACAATGCTATTAGCGTTAACTCTACATTAAGTACAGTGTCTCTGATAAATACATTATGCATTGGCAAATCCTTCCCCTGTAGCTGAACAAAGTCCACGAGGAAATAATACAAATACGTCCCTATCGGAGGAACAGTAAGAGTACATAATGATGCCATGGGAGAGGACACAAAAATGGTGCTAGAGGTTCCTGTTAGTAAAGCAGGAGTACTTTGTAAGTATTTGATCTATACGAATATCCCCTGTATAGTAAACAGGCCTTCACAGGCTACATCCACACAGCTACACTGTAATACTCCACTGCTGGGAGTGTCTAAGATGGAGACGCTTAGAAACACATCTGGTTCGTTTGAAAATGGGCAGAGTACGGATGAGCAAACTCTGAGACGTTTGGAGACGATGAGGCAGTCACCTGTGCTTCCTTTTTGGTTCTTATTAGTCAAGACTCGACTACCAAAACACAAAGTTCCACCTCATCATCGGTGTAAGAAAAGAAATCCCTCGTCTTACTTCTCACACCTGTCAGTTCTCTTTCGTTTCTCTGTGGTCTCCTGCAGAGAAGACAATCTGCCTCCTGTTAACATTGGCGTGCACGTATCCAGTGCAGTTGAATTTCATTTGAAAACTAAAGTATAGTATGGAGGATGTAGCCAAAGAGACTGACATAGCCAGTAGGCAACAACCAACCACAACAGCCGGTGGCCACTGATACTCTAAAAGTAGCTTGTTCTTATTTTGAGTTAAAGAAAACAACACAAGGCTGCGACAAAGGATCATTCTCATCTAATAATTATTTTGGGTGACAAACAGATATTCCATTTCCAGTAATACCAAAACAGAGACAAGTATAAAATTGAAGAAGCTGGGACCAATCGATTTGTGTTATTTATTTGAAAGAAAAAAAATATCTTAAACAATAGTTCGACTGTTCCATCGTTTCCTCTCCGACCTACGGGCATCCATATCCTGAAACTATGCAATATCAATTAAAGACCCCCCCCCCCCTTTCCAGATACTATAACTACTATGAATCGTGTGTGTGACTAAAAGGTTAAATTGATTACAACATGCTGGTTCAAGTCTGCTCGAGAACCATTTTTGTTCCAGTGAGGTCTGGTGACAGGGCCACACCTCAGACTTTTTTAACTGATGCAGGCTTGTGCTGAAAAAAACCCAAACAATTCCAAAGCTCAGTAAAAGCTCAGCTGGAGGAAGCATTGGACTGAACATGTCAAATGAGAGGCCATTTGATGTAACACAGCAACATGTTCAAACAATATCCAGGTTTACACAGCAAATCACTGCATCTGCTCCACGTTCACACCCACACCGAGCGACATCAGCTGTTCCACAGGGGTTGAGTGACGACTGGTCAGATGGAGACCGAGCACAGTTTGGGTTGAGGTCAGGGGGGGGGGATAAATCTCTTGGAAATAAATGTAAAATCAAGATGCTGAAGGCTTCAGCCACACACTCATACATGCGTGTGTGTGTGTAAGGGAGAGACACGTAAAAGAAAAAGCGATAAAGGGACGCCACATACACACTATAGGGTTATTAGACCGTGCTTATTAAAGACTTACTTCATCTGTTTGACGATGGTGCTTTTCCCTGACTCTCCAGCCCCTGAGGGATAAGAGACAAGAAGACAATGTAAACAGGGTGCATGTGTGTGTGCATGTGAGTGTGTGTGTGTAAGGCAGCAAGATGGAAACAGAAAGAGAGAGAGAGAGAGAGAGAGAGAGAGAGAGAGAAAGGGAAGAAGATATTGAGCCTGTTAAAAAGCTAAGTGAATAAGGACAGCAGCAGTGGGGTGGAGATGCAGAAAGTTGCTGCACCCTTTGTTCCTCAACATCCTTTCTTCATTCATCCCCTTCCTTCCATCCTCCATCTTCCCACTTGGACTTTAATACACAAGATGATTCCCCAGCAGGAGCAATCAATGCATCAATCACCCAAACCCCCTTAAAAGAAACCAAAGAACCAGCTGAATGTGCCGGGCCCTCCCTGCCTTGCTGCATAGCTACTGCCATGTTTTTTTTTTGTGTTTTTTTTTTTCTCTCCTCTCCCCCCCACCCCACCACCACCACCACCACCTCCAGCATCCATCTGCAGTTATCATCTCAGATGTGGATCCCAGGTTTAACAGGGTGATTGTGCAGAATGACATTAACCCACCTGCTTATCTTTAATGGGTGTCCTGCAATCAGGAGGATGGAGGATGTCAAAGCCAAACAGCTCCTCGTGAGCTCATGGTGAAGGTGGTGTTTTTTTAAAAATTATTTTGCCTTCACACCTTCAGATGAGGATTTCTTACCAAACGCCCACCATCACTACCACACCTTTTCATCCACCAGCACCACCAGCAGCAGCTCTCCAGGCCGCTACCAGCCACTTCCCCCCCCCCCCGGGTGTCTTACCCAGCAGGAGCAGCTTGACATCTTTGGCCGCGGTGAGACCGTCCTCCTTCAGGTTCTTCTCGATGGCTTTGCTCCGGTCCAGAGCCGCCCGCTCCTCTGCGCTCAGAGTACATCCCATGGTTAGAGAACACAGCTTGATGGCGGTACCGGGAACCAGGATCCACGGAAGAAAAATACAATTTAAACAACACAAATAAGCCCCAGATATCTTCTTGTAGCTCGGTTAGTTTCCTCCTGGAGCTCCCTCTGTCTCTCTCTCTGTGTGTGTGCGTGTCTCTCTCTCTCTCTCTCTCTCGAACCGGGGACACGGCGCGCCGTTAAAGCATTTAAGTGAACCGACGGTCCGCTCGGGGTCGATCCACGGAGCACGACGCGGTGTAGCCTCCGGAGCTAAGCGGCTTGAGTTTGCTTCTGTTCGTCCGCGTCTGTATTTTTTTAAATCACGGTTCTCTTCCTCTCTCCGCTCGTCGACGATACGTGTGTGTGTGTGTGTGTGTGTGTGTGTGTGTCACTGGGCGTCGGTGAGCAGCGCGGGCATCGCTCGGTTCTCGTGGCGGCTCACGGCGGACCTTCCCTCGGCTCCTCGCTGTCTCTCTCTCCGGGGCGGTGGGGGGACTCGCTCTCTCGGTGTGTGACGCTACTGCCTCCCGGTAACAGCTCCGGCGGAGAGGGGCTCGGTCCTTCCTCGCTTCTGTCGCTCAATTTGCGGGCTGCTTACGTCAAAACGGGGTGGGGGGGGGGAACACAAGTGTTGGTAGAGAGAGAGAGAGAGATGGTCCAAGTGGCGCAGCCTGGTGGCGAACTGAGCAACTACACTTTCTCTGCTACTTTATGTTAAAGGGAGAGTTCACTCATTATCTGCTCCCTGCTATGTTGATGGAGGAGTTTTAGTGAAGTGTCCGAGTCCACAAAACCCTTCACGAGTTTCAGGGGCAAACTGTGCTGCAGCAAACTTCAATACAATCGGAGCGAACGGTAAACCAATTCTTCAAACGTAGAAAATCAACAGAAAACCATCAAAACGTGGCTCCATGCCGGAGGTGCGGCGTCATCCAAGTGTCCGTAAGCCCCGAAATTCTGACTCGAAACTATTCAGTCATTTACACCGAGTTTCTAAACGTCCTCTGTGGTCCAGGTGGTAACGTGGCTCCGTGGTTAAGGATACCAGAGGAGTTTTAGGCCCAAAACACACGAACCCTAACCCCAGCAAACATATCTTGCCAAGACTTGCATTTAATTTATCCGAATCAAAGATGCCCTGGTTAGAGTCATTGCCCGAAATCTTTCTTACACGTTTGGATAGAAAAGTGCATTTATAGTGGTTGAGCTTCTAGGTCTATGCAGCTCATTGTTTTTCTGGACTGCGTATAGATGATAGATTTCAGTGTCAGGGCTCTCATCTGTCCACATTAATGACCCCCCCACCCCCAGCAGCTGTTTCCTCACACACCCTCAGACACGCTGAGCACACATTACCCTGCCCAGAAACGGCAGTGAGCCAACGACAACAAGTGGCTGTTGCAGGAAGTCAAGCATCGAGCAGTTGCTAACTGCTATAGCTGCCACATCCTGGTGGGTTTTAAGACAATCATTATCCCATCACGAAAAACAGAACTAAAGTGTGAAAACAGAAACGAATGCAATGTTCTTCTTCATTTAGATTGGGTCTAATCCAATTATACATTAAAAAACATAAAGAAAAACACTTACGCTACATTTTAGATTGTTATAGACAATAAAGAAAACGAATTATTAAAGGTTTTCATATCATTTTCTATTATTTTACTATCCACATTGCTAATGTAATATGGCAAATTTCCCTGAAGTCGAATAAAGGATCTTATATTGTCATACCTTAGGAAACTGATGAAAGCAGAAGCAGTAACACCTTCTGTCGTCACCCTCCCTGTTTCTGTTAACGCTTTGACTTTAACTTGAACCTCAACTTTCTGCTCTGAGTTAAAATGAAATTGTTTGTGGTTCCAAACACATGTGTCTCAGCTGCTGATTCAGAACGAGCAGACTAAATATAACCGACGTGGGATCCTGAGCGGACAAAACATTTTTTGACCACAAGCTGTTTGTTTTCAAGAACATATTCATGTTCAAGATTTTAGTAGAGAAACATTTTTACATAGACTTTAGTTTCCTTTCTGAGAGCTCTGTGAGAAGCTCAACCGACTGTTTTGTTCCTTTAGAAATCAGACTACACACAGGATATGGTTAGATTAGTCAAGATTATTGACTAGAAACACGTAAACACCTCATCTGGCTTCATTCAAAGGTTAAAAAAGCGGTTTAGCAGGAATCTCAAATCTGCACACTGACTTCTTTAAGTGGTTGTGGCATATGACATGTTCTCTACCAGTTCACTAAAATTGGAGCGATGCTGTTACAGCTTCTTTCTCTCCTTCCTTCCTTTATTACATCTGGTCATTCCATTAACCAACACAGGCTGTGGTTGCTGTTACACAAGCAGCACACACGCACACAGACTATCAACGCTGATATGATGCAATTCTTCCGAGCAGCATGTAAGAACGATGCCGTTGCCTCAGACTCAGGATGGAATCCACTTAGTGAGGACAAAATAAAACAGAAGAAACTATGATGACACTTAACCTTCATTTAACAAGGTTAATTAAAAGATAACATAGCTGAAGGTAAATACATCACAAGTACCCGAATATTTACACAGCCCATCATCAACTACCTGGATACTAATGTCCTGCACTTTTATGGATTTGGGACATTTACAGCCCCAGACAACAAAAATATAAAACACCTTGAGACGCCCCATGATGATTCATTTTAAAAGAGACGGAGAAATATTAAGAAGTCAGCCTGCCAGTTAGAGCTCATCCACTCATGGAGCCAACATTAGTTTAATTAGATCTCTAGATACAAAATCTGCCAGCGACAATGATCTCAACCAGTGTTATCAAAGGGTTGCCAGAGAGAAATGAGAAACCAGCTTTAGGTCTGCACGCCTCTGTCTGTGTTTCAAAACTCTGACTCTGATCATTGAACCGTCATTTGCTGGAACAGCTTGTAATATTACAACGCAAGAACCAAATGCAGATTTTTTTTCTGATTAAAACGTGTTGATAGAACAACATCTACATCTTATTTCTAAAGTCTGAGCAGAGGAGCAGGGGAATCTTCTCGCTCGAGGTGTGGGGATGTAATTTGCATTCCTCCGTCTGCAGCCTTCAAAGAAACACGGCTACAGATCGAGAGATGAATGAAAGAGAACGAAGTGATGTGAGGGGAAGAAGAGACAAGTCGAATGAGTGGCGTACTGTAGAAAATGGAAGGGGGGGATGGAAATGCAACCGTGGTTGTTTCCAGACTCAAGTGTCACTTAAGCAGAGCCACAATATTAACAGACCTAAACAGACTTATTAAATAAACATATTGGTATCATCAGGATTATGTTTGACAGTATGAGAACAGTCATGTTTAAATTTTACACACATTTATTTTCTAAAATTGAGCTCTATGTATTAGGTGGTATTTGTGTTTTCTTTTTATATATAATTATATGGTCAAATTGTAAATTATCAAGGCTCAATTACATTTGTTTTTCATGAGGGTTTGATAAAGACATCTAAGGAATCATCGTCAAATTATTGCCAAAATGTATATACGTATAATAGTATACTGTATATAATGAATATATCAGTATCTGAAATTTTGGCTCTCAATTATTGGTGTATCTTAGCATCACCCCCTAAATATCCATATCCCTTTATAGACTCTAATATAAGGCAAACTCTTGATGTTGTATGAAGACAAACCAGGTTTGAGTGGGTAGACGTGACGTTACTGTGGTCGGAGATCACTCACTCTTCGTCTGTTTAAGTTAAATCAAACATTTACCACTCGGGTTAATTTCCTGTTTACTTCCCAGTCAACACAGGTATCAGGGTCTGCTCACCATCGTCTCTACCTCAGGCTCAGATGTGGCTTTTAGTTTTAAATATATAAGAACGCAAATTGGACTCTTCTCTCTTGTGAAGGTTTTTTTTCTGTGTCAGAGCAGAAGTTATTACAACGATGAACGATCAAACAAAGCATCGAAGCCTCTGTCGATGTGAGGGCCCTGCACTGTGTGGGCCTTCCAAAACAACACACCCACTCCTGCTTCCTGAATAAGACCTGGACAGTTTGGAAAGTTGTGGGACTGTTACAAACATGTCTTTAAATAACAACACATCTATCCACCATGGAGCTGGGATTGTGGTTTTTACCCTCCACAGAACCACAAGCGCTTTATTTTGGTTTTGTTCAGGGTTACATAAGAAATACAGAAATGTTGATTTTATTTGCGCAATATTTAATTCACCTGCAGCTGTTAATGATGTGTGACATCCTGTTATTGTTCATTTTATGTGATTAATGCATTTGTGTGGGGGGTAACTGAGTGTGTGGGTTTGGAAATGACTGTTTACTTGATGCCTTGTGTGACTTTATTTTAAAAACAAACAGGCCTGTGTAATAAAAATGTATTTTTAAAAAAGCAGACAAGTATGTTTCTGTTTATAGTGAAGAAGCCATAGAAACAATGGAGTGCAAACATAAATAGACAGAGAAAATATTTTTATTTTAATGACATCGTCTAAAAATACGGCTCACCCTTGTCCCCAGATTTTAACTGTTGAAATAGAAAACACAAAATTACTAAGTTAAGTTATTTTACAGGTAATTGTCTTGTTAATCGCAAAATTTCAATCCACATTAGGATAAATAATCAAAACTATTAACTGATTGTGTCCACTGTTGAAACTTGACAATTTATATTTGTGAAATTCCCCCTAATATATATTCATCTTCACTTTATCATAAATCAAATTAAATTCCCATCTAATAATCTTTACTGACATTTCTTGGCAGTTATTCGAACATAATATTCTTCATATTTACCATGATAGCATTTTCCCCTGTTTATAAAAATGAAACTTGAAAACGCAGCAGTATGAGAAAGTGAACATTTATTCACTAAGGACTGAATATAAGAAGGAAATGAATAAGACCTTGGAGCATGTGGTTAAACTGGAGTCAAACACAGAACACTCTTGAGATGGAAAAGCTCCGCTCCTCTGAAGGACATGACTGATCTTAATGAAATTAGACAGACAGGAATAGAACAGTGCAGACGGAGCAGTGGTCCAGGAGAAAACTACAATTCCATAATAACTGTGTGACACAACATGCTTTCTTTCCCCAAACATTGGCAGCTGCTGTTTCCATTTTTTTTTATCAGCTCTCTATCATCTGCAGAATATACACAGAGAGACATTTATTGAAGAGGTTTGAAGTTTCATTACATTCTGAATTAATACAAGGACTTGATTACAGCCTGGAGTCACTGCAACATCCTGCAACTCTTTCACAGATGCTCTCTGTTTGTAAGAGCCACGTGTAATTATCTCAGTCTTGTTCTAATAAATGTGGTTATTATGGCTGTGATTTGCAGGATCCATGCTCGGAACAGCCACAACTGTGAAAATACGAGCAAGACTGAAAAACAATTTTCAATTCATTTTCCAGGAAGATTTTAGTGAGCCACACATTTTAAAGGAAAAGAAACATGACGTCAAGTGATGTACAGCCGAGTCCGAGTACAAGACAGGAAGTTTGAGGCCACTGACTGAAATTACAAGATATCTTGGACACTTTGAAAATGCAGTGGTGTGAAAAACTAGGAGA